CTATGTGTATCCATAGACATGTGAGAGCGTCTTGGTTCGAATCTCGGTGGCACGCAATTCACTCTCGGGTTTTGAGAAACATGAGCCTCGGGCTGATCCGAAAAAAAACGACGGGAAGGAAAGATGGAATTTAATGCGATGCAAAAAAAAAAATGCGTAAACAAAAAATGATCGCTGGAGCCGAATTTCGACAAGTTTCCTTGTCGAAACATCGGCTCCACCATCTCACCGTCTGTTGGCACATTTTTTTTCTCCCTCTTGGTGTTGATGTAACTATATGAACAGTCCAGCACGTTGTGGCTTCATGCCTGTCACCACAGCCGGCAATTGCATCCCTCACCGCAAAATCGATTGACCACCCTGCTGTGTAGCAGTTGCCTACCTCGTATATGATTAGGCTACGCAAGTTAACTTCCAAGCTTCAACTCACCCCCCAAATTTAACCCCCATGTTCACTGTGAAGCCTTCAAGCGTTGCTTCGTGCAATCATCATTGCGCCTGGTGCATTTTCTTTATGATCATTAAAGCGAGGACGGCGCAGCAGGCCACGAAAACGAAATTCATCGGGGCAACTCTAAGGGATAACAAGAGAGCAGTATGGGCCAAGAAGTAAACGTGCTTTGAAGAAAATAGAAGAAATCGAGTAGAATCGGGCACGGGCCGTGCTGTGGCGAGAAAGGAAGATAAACTTTTTATCATTAAGAGTAATAGAGCGCATTGCAAGGGAAGGCAAGTTCTCGAGTGGAAGATAGAAAGCGATATATAGAGGGCAGGTGAGATTACGATGTTTGCGACGATAGCGTGGCCGTATCTATACCGAGCACAGAACGCTGTTAATTGGAGAGGCATCGGAGACGCAAAGGCGTTGCAGAGGGCATATGGTCTGGCTGGTGATGATGATTGCGCTAACTTGGATCTTGGATGAACAAGCTTCATAACAGGTCCGAAACTTTACAAATAAATAGAGTGCATTGTAGTCCGAATCAAGCGACAGCCGAAATAATCGACAGCCAGACAAGTAACGGGCGAGTTAAGCTAGCTTTACAACCAAATGCACAGAGCGTCGAAAATTTCGGACGATCATTAAACCGCAGCTCAACAGAAACTGAACTAAGAACGGGTGAACAACAAACATCCGCACGGCAAGATCGAATCGCGATAGGTCATGTTTTTACAATTATTTATAATACACACCCCGGAAAGTACGAACAATTAATAAAGGAAATTTTTTTCTACTTCAACGGTGAATGAATGTCGCGTTTGTAAGCTTGAGTGCGCATGCTCCGATGCTCGGCCAAGTAGGCCGCACTTCGACAGCGGTGCACTTCAAAAGATCTCCCGTTTGCCTTCGATTTGCATGCCTGATGGAGAACACTAAGTAGTCGAAGCTATTCCGAACTCCTCACTGCAGCGTGTCTAATACTAACATCGTGGTTCTTGTACGTCAAATGCCAGCATTTATTATTACTATTATCAACGAAGTATAACTCGGCCTAAACACAATATAACGATATGCATTCGTACTGCAGCACTGCACTCGAGGCAATGAATAGTGGAAGATATGTCCCACGTGACCTTCGAGTGGGTATAAATTGCGCAAGAGACAATCGTGACGACGTTCAAGAGGCGTGCAGGAATAATTCATCGCTTCCGTGACCTCCCTGGAGCTGCGGACGTCATCGCACACGTCTTCAAAATTTCGCACGCTTGATCCTCGCATATTGTCGCGATCACTCGTATAATATGATGCGTATTAACTATGCAAGTATTTTCAGGGTTACTTCGAGTGGTTGCTATAGATGCCCGTAACGTCAGAAGCATGCGGATGCGAATTTGCGACAATGTGGTTTAGTTGTGCATTCTTTCGATGGTATACGGATGCGGGTTTCGTCTATATATAGGTTGTTCTGTATTGATCGCGACGACAATTAGCCCTTATGTCTCGTGCGTTTCAAATGTCGCAACACAAATGCGAAAACCAAGTTAGCAGTGCAGACAGTGTTACACCTCCATATCATATCCATATCAAAGCACAGTGTTACACCTCCATATCACTGTTTATGCAAATGGCAGCACCGACCTACAGAAAGTTGCGATAAATGGCAATGGCAAGCGTTGGCACGCACACGCAAAAGAACTAGACAATGCAAAGATCAAAGCAGCTCTCACCGGATCAAACACGCTAGTAACCATCATTTTGTGGGTGTAAGCTCAAGCCCGTCTTCTCAAATTTTAATTAAATATATATTTTAATGAAGTGAATTCGGAGCTTTTTGCGTTCTGTATGATACTATATATATATATATATATATATATATATATATATATATATATATATATATATATATATATATATATATATATATATATATATATATGTATATATATATATATATATATATATATAATGAAATCATTATACACGTGCACTCCATTCAGCAACTATATATAAGATCGAGTTAAGAGATTAAGGGAAACGACTAATTAGAGTTACTGTTTGGTTTCTCTAAATTCAATTTTCAAAAAGTAGTCCCAAATAAACCACAAAGATCTGTTGTTAAACTAAGATTGTAGTCTATCAGGCCTTCGTGCACAATAATTAGTCATTACAAAATCGGCAATCTCTATATATACTTCCAAGTTAATTGCGCTACTGTGGCAAAAGTGCCTGAGTGTTTGGCTCACGAGCTACTGCACGGAATATGATATTTCGTTGTGTCTTTTACGCGGGGATGATGCACGTGCCGTCACGACATATTTTAACGCGAACAAACTGCGCCTTCTGCAGCGCGATGGGCGTAGAAGGAAACGGCGCCAGAAATACAATGGGTGTGCGCACAGAATCAATTGAAAACATCAAAGAAATGTGCACGGTATAGTGGCACGTGCAGTACAAGTCTGCGACAATGCAGTCGATTCAGTCGACAATATGGGACTGATGCGGCCGTGGTGGTGTAGCCGTTACGGTGGTTGGACTGCGTCCTCGAAGGTCGCCACTTCGATACCGGCTGCAGCGGTCACATGTCAGGGGAGACGAAATGCTAAGCCCCATAAATACTGTGCGATGTCAGTGCAGCAATTAAAGATCATCAGATGCTCAAAATTTCTGGAGCCCTCCACTGCAGCGTCCCTCACAATCACATCATGGTTTTGGGGCGTGTGAGATCGAGTGTATATGCCAGGAAAATAGTGATTGCTGAACGCCTTCTTCAGTTTGCTAAAGCAACACTTCAAAGGAGACAACAGCCACTCCTTAAAAAAATGTTTAAGCGTTTAAAGAGATAGTTGTCGAATATATATTATTGCTCCAAACTAACCTATTTTTGTCTTAGGGGGGACATGGATATATATGTGATATAGAAGTGAAGGTGGCTCTAAACAAAGCTAACCAACTTGGAGAACGCGGACGAAAATTTAACAGCGGAAGCACAAAATAAACATCAATACATTGATACTTTCAAACAGAAGCTGTGAGGAAAAAAAAGAGAGAAGGCTGTGTATATTTTGTTCTACATATAAAACGTTGTGCCAAAGGGCGAAGATTTCTATAAACCACGATGTTAAAATTTTGAGTGAGCATAACAGACGACTTTGTCAGAGTCAGACACAGCCTTGGGTCGACAGGAATACCAGGACAATTTAGGTTATACCAGGAAGGAGAGTATTCAGCGAACTATCCAGCCTTATGACAGACAAGAATATCGGTTTTAAAGGTTACACACGCCTAATAAGCGCTCTGTAGAATTTTATGGGGAGCTATCGGTCAGACTCCTCCAAGTTGCGTGATTTCCAAAGAAAATAAAAATAAAACGTAGGCTCTTTCGAGCTCTGCAGTTACTGCACAGACTTTCTATTTTTTAATCTTTTGTGGAATGCTACATATACTTTAGTAACACAAGAAACTAATTTCTGAGTCACAACGGGGATTAACACCGAATGCTTTTCTTTTGCACCGTGACTTTTTTCTGTACTTAGCTTGTGTTTTGCGGGCTGTCGATTAAATGAAGCTCCACCTACTGAACGCTGAATGTCCCGTCTGGTACGAAAGAGAAGACGGCACACAAGAGATAGATGGTTTGATCATACGTTAGATCACAGGAAAACGTGTCGATGAGCCTAAATACCATGAGGATGTTACACCTCAGAGGCGTTCGTGCATTCACGGCATCGCCATGCAGTAGTCGACGGCAACTCGGCACCATAGAGTTCATCGTAAATGTGTTTCACTTACAGCAACAATGTTTAACGATGATTATTGTCCCAACTACAACCATTACGGTATATGTGGTGCAAATGGCTGTGTGTCACCAATGTATCTAGGTTTGCATATCCAGTCGTGTAGCTGAGTGGTCTAATGCGATGCTGCAATGTCATATGCAAGTACAGACGAATGCTTTCCAATGTTCTCGGCACAGTATCATGTATATATGTGCGGTCTTGTAAAATCTCGTAATTTGTCAGTCGCGTTCAAATATAGGCAGCCCGTGACATAGCGAGAATAAGGACGAGACGTACAGGAGAACGTATTTAACTCTATCGTGATTTCACGAATGCAACGACGGTGTTGTGCACTTGTTTTGTGATCTGGCCAGGCGAAATATTAATAAAGTATATTCGGGGCACTATGGTGTGGCGTGGTAAGGTTCCGTTTCTGAAGCCATTTCTTAGACCCTGGTGCACATGTAATGTAATAGATTAGGTCTTCGTACATTTAGCAGCGTCACTGTGTAACAATGTCGTGACACTTTTAGTGAGCGCTCAAGGCGCAAGCTCGATTGATTGTTTTCGACCATTCATGTCACGAATCATTGGCAGCTACTGCGCGAACGGAAAGTGCGTCATGCATAAATTTTGGGGGATCTCATTCAATGGTGAAGTTTAAAAGTTTAATGCTTGAAAACACGACCAATCCGCCAGGATCCTTCATCGACGCATGCTTGACAGAGAAGACGAGTTGCGAGGAACGTACGAAGGCACATCGCATCAACGTAGCGTCTTACCGGCCTGACTTGGTGATCACCATCTCGGTGCCGAACGCATGGAACCTCTCCCACAGTTCCTTGGCCTCGAGCGTCACTTTGGGGTCGTCTTGCACCCCGTCGTCTTCGGGCTCCAGCCCGGGAGGCGGTCTCAACAGGGGTCCACCGCGGTGTGCAGCGGCAGCCGCGAGCAACTCCTCTGCCGAGAGCGACGGGGGCCCCGGCCCCGGGTGCAACTTTGGGAATAACGCCGCGGCGGGAAATCCGGCGGCCGCTGCGGCGGCGAAGTACGGCGACGCCTGTGCACCGGCGGCACCACTGAGAAGCGAGTGCACCGAGAAGTCCGGTGGGGTTGGTCTCAGGAACGGCTGGAACGCCATCGCGGCGGCGGCGGCAGCGGCGGCTTCGGCCGGCGACGAGCGCATCTCCAGCGGCGGCGCAGGATGCAGCGAGGGGCAGCCCGCCGCTCTGTCACCGTGCTCAGCCGCCACGGCTCTGTGGGGGCGACACAACCCGCGACACGCACGCACGCACACACTCACACAAGAGGCGCGCGTGAGAGAGCGACGCCGAAGAGACGCGCAGGATGCTGCGACGGTGGTGGCCGGAGGCGTGCCTACGCCGCGCGAAAATGACGGGCCCCCTGTGCGCGCACGCACAGCCAAGCGCGCTGCCGGGGGCTTTCACGCTGATAGAGGGGATGGGGGTCGAACAACGCTGCAAGAGTGACGCGGAGGTGGGGGGTGCCGGTGGTGATTAGCTATTCTCGCGTCCAGGGCGCCGGCGGCGCCGCCATAGCGGCGCCGAGGCCGTGACGTGGTCCCCGAAGACGCCGCCATTCGCCGGCCCCCGAGAACGGACCGGCCCGGATAATGAGAGGGGCGTCGAATCCGCCACCTCCGACGCCGCCGGGGCAGCCACCCTCCCTCCTCACCACGCCGTCACCCTCGCGCCGTGCCACTCAATAGTTGCAAGGCGCCAGCGCCAGCTGTTTGGAGCGTCTCTCTTATGTTCCTCCTCTGCTCTCTCCGCATCACTTTTTCATTTTATTTATTTCTGACAATGCTCAAAACCTTCCGCACCGCCATTTAGTGGTGAACAGTGAAGAGAGCATGATAGGGGCCGACAGTGTCCTTGCCGATGGTTTCATACAGCTGGGCAAACTCCAGTGAAGTAGTCTACTTCGCTTTCTTTCTTCTCTGGCTCACCGCGCCGAGAGCCTATCGAAACTGATGCGTTTTCGAACTTTTCCTCTCTTTCTCGAACGGTCTGAAACGGATCGTTTTTCGGAGGCCAAAGCTGCCGCGGTCGACACTAAACTTGCCGCCGCCGTCACCCCCTTGTTCTCTCCCCCTCTGCCTCCAGCCGTCGTCTTCCACGGAGGCGGAGCTTGAAGTAGGCGGCTCCTGGGTAGTGACGTCATGCGTGACGTGCGTAAAGGGGCGTCAGCAGCGCCGCCGCTCACCACAGCCGCCTTCAGTCGCGTCTCCGTTCTCTCGCCGGAAGCTTTGCTGTCTTCTGCCGTCGTCGCCGGCAATTGTTTGTCCAGTGACCGACCGCGCCTTTGCTTAGCGTGTCGGCGTGCTTGTTGTGTGGGGTGTTTCGGAGCACTCCCCGCTGCCCGTTCTCTTTCCCGGCCTTGTTTGCGTGTGCCTCGACTCCACGGCCGCGACTCTCCACGTTCCGTGAGTGGCGATTTCGCGTGACCCACTTGGAAGCGCACGCGGCTCTCCGACGTTATCGTTGATGGTCCTTCGCGAAGCGGGCTTGGCGTCGGACAAACGACAAACACGATTCGAATAACGGCGCCCGCCTCCTCTCTTGTTCGTGTCCGCGTCTCGCTGGTCCGTTTGAGTTGCCATTGTTCGAGTCGATCCGCAGACGAAACGCTCTACCTTGGCATCTCTCACATGCGTCCGGCTCTATCTATTGTCTTCGCCGTGGGTGGTAACAATCTGGTGGTCCCCCCCATGTGTGTTCGGCTTTCCTGCTACGCCTGCCTACTCGCGATGCTCGCCTGCTGCTTTAGGAGTGTCCAATGCTCGCAAGCGTAGTTTTGTGTCCGCGAACCGGCCTCACGTAGTATTTTGTTCGCGTGCCGAACGCCAATGCCGTGTCCTTCGTAGATATGCTTGGCGGCTAGCCACCAGCCGCGTATTTGTTTCGAGATGGTAATGGCAACTCGGAGAGGCCTGTCCGAAAGGGGTCATTTGCTAAGCACGGCGCCGTGACAACAGCGCGTATTTTGGTGAAGGAAGCCAATGGGTATATGTCCTTCATCTAATTATGTCTGAATCTCACTAACCTCGCTTCCTTAGAGGCATTCCGATCACGTTTCGAACGCTCCCATTGAGAGGAATACTACTAGTGCACGTGCAAACAGTGCGAAAACGTAGAGCGAAGTATCCTTAAATCATAAGCTGTATCTCGGGCTGTCTCCAGATACATTTCTCGAGCTGTGGTTCGTTGAACTGTGGTCCTCGCATCTCGGGCTGTCTCCAGACACATTTCTAGGAACTGTGGTTCTTGAGCTTGAGATGCCACAAATGGACTGTCATGTTCTGTGCTAAGCTCCATCAGATTACCTAAATTAGGATGGTAAGGATAATGTTGACTGATATTATATCAAAGAACATTTCTTCAAGAACGATATCAAGGTTTTGACAGCTCTCTTTTATCGTCCTTAAGAAAGGCCCCCATTGAAACCTTCTAACTTCGTCATTTTAGTTCGCCGTGAGCTTGTGATATTTTCTATTGGCCACATGGCTTTTTAATATTATTTGATATACATAACTATTGAGTGACATCTCCACTTTTCTTCTTTTTCTCTCTCGCATTTTTTCTACTTCCCTTTCTGACTGCGTAGGTTTGCAAAATGGCCATGTTTCTGGTTAACCTGCCGTCTTCTTGCCTTACATGTTATCTTCCGTCCGAAAAAAGCAGTATTAGATGTGCAAGAAATCGTGTGAGCGGAAGCACCCATTGTACCGATCCAAGTACACGGATGGCAAGCACACAGATTTCACACTGCAGCATTTTCCAGTGAATAGAATACCTTCCATGCTCACAGCTTTCTGAAAAAAAAAAAAGTTGTGTAATGTTTATGGATGTTTAGCTAACACCAAGCATGATGCTTTCCAAGTTCGTGCCTCGATGTTAACGAGAAGCAATTACGTTATAAAAATTATTTCGAACTGAAAATTTTATACTACTCCTGAATGTGAACATTGTGAGCGCAGACGAATGCATATTTTCATGGGCACGTGGTTGACTAACCACATTTCTGTGAAGAAAATATAGACGGCTTTCATTCTCACATGTAAATCACTTTCTCATACCTAAGTGAAAAGGAATAACCATGCTTCATTTGAGATGAACTAGCCCTTTACATCTAGCTTCGTGGCTATACTCTTAGTATACTAAGAGCAATACTGATTAGGCAAATTGAGAAGGAAGGCGAGGATTAGAGCTAACAAGAAACGCATAATACATATAGCTTTTACGTGCATTCGAACGCGATCTTTGCGGGTGCCTTGTCGATTGGTCCACACTTAACGGGATCTCGGAGGAACGCAGGTTGGACCGCAATTTCCCTCGAGCTTTTGCGACGCGTGGCGCCATCTGTGAGACGACGGGCAAACTATACGCGGGGACTGTTGCAGCCCCGCTTATCGATTTCTCGCTCTGCGACCTGATCCCGCGTATCGTCGAATTTCTTACGCACGGGCCCATTCGGAGTGCGCCAGCGATGGGTGCACCTTGGCGAACTGTCGTCAAAGAACGAAGTGTACGTCCATATCTGTGACGGTCGCTGTTTTGCGCATTTTATTTCTTCGATGCTGCTTCTGCGATATGGCCCTGTCCTAGATAAGCGTGAGGCGATATTGTGATTTTGCAGAAGACTATCTGACTCTTTGAACATGTAGCCACCGATTTGTGAACAAATAACAATATTTAGAACATATATGGTATACTTTTTTGCATTAACCTCCCTGCCTTTCTTTGCATCTTTATCTCTCTCTCTCTCTTTTGCATCTATATAATAAAACAAAGATTTATATCCTCACCTCCCGCCATAGTGCTCGTGAAGCAGAAGCTGGTTTTACGTGATAAACACATGAAAATGTAACCAAAATTTGGATAGTGGGTTGTTCCATATATTCGCCGCATAACTTTACCTCTTCGTGTATACAAGACACCAAGCAAAACAACTTTTGCTTAGAATGTTAATAAATGTAATTAACCAAATAGAGTTCCGGCACCTTTCAATACATGGAGACAAGTATGTATCCACTATTTCTTCGCTTTCTTATTCGTCTTTTAGCGTATCACTTAGAGCGCTATCTGTTAAAAAAGGTGAACACTATAGTTTGTAAGTGCGCTTTGATTTCGTGTGATCGTTCGAACACATCTCTGTCCGCACTGACCTATACTAGCTCACTATATGCCACGCAACTATACGCAAAGTGTAACCTATAATATGAGCGAAGTTTTTTTAACGCTTCCCGTACGACAGTGCACCGCAGAACACATTACAGCCTTGGAAGCTGGAAAACCTCAGTGAATGCGTTGCACAGTAGCCTGAGGCAATTTTCGCCTTGGCTCCTCACATTTCCTGCAACCTCGGTTGTGCTTTCTCAACTGCGTTTGTTAATTGACCACACCAACTATTACCACGTTAAGGCAGTTTACGATGAATGCATGCTGCTACATCCGCAAGGATCTTCTATACGTCCCTTTCCTAAGCGATCTATGAAGCCACTCTTAGCGGAATGTAAGTCACACCCACCATTCGACGTGGGCCCTGGTTTCCGTGTCTGCTGTGCTGATGTAAAAACTGTTTACGGAATGTTCTCATTAGGGCTGACGTAGCCCACAATAGTGGACTTATCTCCCCAAGATGTCTTCTCCTTCCTAAAGCCCTTATTGCGGCAAAGCCCACTTTGACGAAGGAGTAATAAAGGTGGATTGCTGCCAAAGTGTGACATTCGATGCCATTTCTTTGGGAAAAGGAAATGATTTTGGCTGTGGCGACAGCTTCGCCTTAAACAATATCTAGCGGCCAGGGGCTGGCCATGTATACAGGACCAGGCTAACCCTGCATGTTGCAACAAGACCTCCACCACATCGAGTCTACAAATAATCGCAAGTACCATAAGGATTTATTTTTAGGTTAGTTGGTGCTAACATTGCATACGCGTATACAAAACTTTGGCGCGAAATAAATTTCGTCAAAACAAGAAAGGGTGGGGAGAAAAGAGAAGAAAGGGAAGCGCCGACTACCAACTGCTCAACGAAACCGAGAAAAGTACAGGAAGACACTTCTCGCGCATGCGTAAAGAGACAACGCATGATTGATTGATTGATTGATTGATTGATTGATTTATATGTAGGGTTTAACGTCCCAAAACCACCATATGACTATGAGAGACGCCGCAGTGGAGGGCTCCGGAAATTTACACCCCCTGGGGTTCTTTAACAAGCACCCGAATCTGAGCACACGGGCCTACAACATTTCCGCCTCCATCGAAAATGGAGCCACCGAAGCCAACGCATGACATAGAGCGACATGGCTAAGATATATCGAGAAAGCGCATTTCTGAGGATCACAAAGTTACAAAAGAGTTAGTGACCCAATGAGACCTTTACTTTTGATAAGCTAATAGCAGTTTGATGTTTTTGCCGAGACTAATTTTCTTATGCAGAATCCTAGAAAAGGTGGCACTGGCCTGAGACAACGAATGCGCTGCTGCAATTGCTGAAGGCTACCAGCCTGATTAACCACCTCAGAAGTAGATAACAGACCATTCTTATACGTTGACAATGTCAACAATCTGCTTGTTTTTCTCTCACACTATCTTCTTTCATTTTCACAGTGGTGGGTCAGAAGCCGGGCTGAGTCCTGATTAACTACCCTCGCTTTCATATATCGTTTTTGGATGTTGTTGTTGGTCTATAACATTGATGGTATATTTAAGTCATTGCAATAACTTTTTTACGGGATAGTAGCGCCCATTCAGGCAGATTCAAGAGAATAAATGCTTTCGAGCAATTCTATCGACGTAAGGGTTTATTGGTTGCCGAAGAAACTTTTAAGCGATCTTCTGTAATCATCAGACCCGCCCGCCCCCACTTCTCCCCCGAAAAATTCTGGGACACGAGTACCACCATTAAATAGTTAACAGCTGGGTGACATATTTTGCAGTGGAATGCACGGCCTATATATAGAATACATTTTATTTTGTGCATTAGTATACATGTACAGCATGCTCTGTTTAATCGCCACCTGGTCACTTTGATCTATATGTACGCAGTATGTTTGAAGAAATCGCTCCTAAGACAACAATAAAGATCAATAATATTTGTTTGATGCATCCTTAGTTTCTTCTTACGTGTACGGGCAAGCACCTTAAGGTGAGTAGAGATAACTAAATTAGCCTAATTGTATTTTTCATTAGTGGAGACTGGTGATCTAATCGAATGGGCGAATTGAAGTCCTTTGTGGAAACAGCCCATCGCCGCTTTGAGAGTTCGAAAAAACGACCACCGCTAACTATCGCGTATGCTGAAGCTCGATAGAAGTCAGTGGTGAAACCGACGTCCAGAATAAGGTCAATGCTAACTAAAACAACAGCACTGGTGTTGTTTACCAAAGATAACAGTCATTACTGAGATAACTTGACGCAAAACTTTTGGTCTGTCACATGATTCAGGTACCAAGCAAAACTTTTAGTACTAGCTGAGCGCCCAGACATCTCGAACTGGTGGCTGCGTTCATGTATACTTGTGAACATTGTCGATCAAAAAGCAAATATTGCGCATATCTGAGGCACAAAATTGTTGCGTAAGTATTAGGTGATGTCTTCCTTTACTAAAATACACACATACATCATTTTAAACACCCCAGTGTGTTTTTTACGGAGGACTGCAAATGCGATTCTATACAAAAAACAAAAAAGCCCTCTGCCGACGGTGTGGTGCTGCCACCTGGGAGTACTGAAATGGTACATGAATAGCACCACAGGTGGCCGCGGATAAAACCAGGACTCGTGTAGTACGGCCACCAGAAGACTATCGCCTTTTGACGACATTTGCAGCGAAGCACGCAAGTACACGGTCAGTATTTTATTGTTCAGCTTTTTTTACATTCCTTATATAGTCCACGTGCGCCATGCGTGTTGTACGAACTGAAGTCGATCGACAGTTGATGCTCGCGTTTCGGTTTCGCGCGCTAAATCAGTCGGAACTCATTTTTTTGCCAAAATGACGTGCTGCAGCTTCTTTCAAAATCTTAAAGTGACAATCAGTCCTTCGCAGAAGGGGCGCCAATTCATCAACACAAGCCGGCAGGTTATTGGACCCGATGCCCTGTCCCAAATAATTATAAAGTTTATTAGCCTAATTGTTTAACACGGCTGAAGTTCGTCTCCCGAGTCACACTAAGATGTCTGCCGCAACGAAAAAAAAAAATAAACGCGAAGGCATCAGGGAAACATTCCCGTTCCCTTATTTTGGCAATTTCTCAGCACACCCTGTACTGAATTCATTTCATTTGAAGATTAGCGAGTAGCTTAAGAAATAAAATATTGCGGCGCAACAATCAATGACTTGGGTTACATTTCCAGTGGTATTTCGATAGGGGGGAATTGCAAATACACCAGTATACGCAGGTATAGGAGCGCATGTAAAAGAACACCATGCGGGCAATGTTATCCCATAGTACACCACTTCGACGCCCGTTCCTCGCTATCGTACGATGGTTCGCGCAAGTAGATCTCCGAAATTTACAAAATAAACAAATAAATAAAATGTCAGAGTTAAACTGCCGAGTTTTGTAATTCGATATAGAGTTTTGCCAGAACTACCATATCTGATTACAAGGCAAATACTCTATCGGGGGATTCTGGTGCAACTTTAGCTGAATGGGGCTGTTATCAGACCCCTGAATCGGGTATATACCGACGTTTCTTCCATTTCTATACCGCATCTAAGTATACGACCGCCGTATCTTAAAATTGAACTTATAACGGCGTGGTGCGCGCAATGATACGCACGGTTACCGCAAAGCAAAACCCATTATATGTATGGCATTGATTAAAGGTAGCTCAATATATATATATATATATATATATATATATATATATATATATATATATATATATATATATATGACGCTATGCTGTATTGGCGACGTGGCGCCATGTTTATTCTATTCTCCACTTCTTCTTCCTGTGCTTCTACAAACCATCACTTCATACGTCACACACACACACACACACACACACACACACACACACACACACACACACACACACACATATATATATATATATATATAGGCAGGCATGGTGGTTGAGTGGCCGTAGCGTTGCATATAGTCCAGTAGATCCTCCGTGAGCGGTCACAACGTGGTTTATTTCGACGTTTCGGCCTAGAGTCTGGCCTGATGATTCCTGATGAAGGCCAGACTCTAGGCCGAAACGTCGAAATAAACCACGTTGTGACCGCTCACGGAGGATCTACTAGACTATATATATATATATATATATAATGAGATATAACAGACAGTAATGCCAAGGAATGTACAGGGGAAGTTATTAACATTAATGGAATGTAAATAAGAAGAAAGAAAAGTTACAGTTGGTAATTTTTTCATCCACTTTTCTTTCTTCTTATTTACATTCCATTAATGTTAATAACTTCCCCTGTACATTCCTTGGCATTACTGTCTGTTATATCTCATTATTATTGTGTTAAAAACACGGAAAAACGAGCCCTTAGGTATACACTTCTTTCCCTTATTTTATATATATATATATATATATATATATATATATATATATATATATATATATATATATATATATATAAATTTCGAACAGTTGGACCATTCCAGAGGTGTCGCCTAAATGTGCCCGGCCATCTAGAGCTATAAGACCTATCGTAGTCTTGATTCGTTTATTGTCTCTTTCGTAGCCTTCCTCCTCCTATATCCTCGCGTGTTTTTTTTTTTTTTTCGCTTCTCAAACCTTCGTTTCTTCGTATTTTCTCAAGTTTTGAGCGTTCGTTCATGAGATCGCGTACAGCCAACCAACTTCAGCTGCCTATAAGTGAACTAACCAAGCTGTTTGCAAACCTATAGAAGGATGGGGTTTATTTCAATCGGCAAACTCGCCGCGTTCTGTATTCGAGTCAGTTGCTTAATACACCGAATGTGAGTTATCCACGCGAATCATTTCCGGGGATAACTTACGTCTCACCGTTCATAAGGTCGATATATCTCGCTTTCAGTTTATTTTTCAGAGATGCCTAGCGACCTCGCGGTAACGGGCACGTTGCAGCCAAGTATATGCAGACCTGATGCGTGTTCGCTGTTTGTGTTAATGCGTTTCTGGCACCTCTGTGCCCGCACGTATAGTTCTGCGGCGCATGCACCCCCATCATTGATGGCACGTAAATTATATAAGTTGCTCGCTCCGTGGCATGCAGATAAGCGTCCGAATGGGTAGGAGTCGACATATGCGCGGGCGGGACACCCTTACATAAATCGGTTTCATTATCGGACAGCTCACGGCCGTTTTTGAAATGAGTTCGCTTGACGCCATGCACTGTGTTAAGCAATCTGCATTTGTAAGAGGATCGAACTCTTACGCACTTTAATCCTCCATTGGCACGGCTAAGAGGACGCAACTGGAATTACCATATATTAAACGATCTGCTCTGTCACGTGTCCATGTAAGTGCGCGGGAGCCGTAGGTGTTTCGTGATATGAGCTGTTGTGTTACCTACACGCGTATTCCTCTTTCTTTATCTTTCTTTCTTTCTTTCCTTCTTCTTCTTTCTTTCTTTACCGTGTTCAAGTGTTTGACCACGTACAAGATGTCTTCCTCATCTTCGTCATAGTCCGCCCGTGTTATGTCTTCCTACATGGATGCATAAATGAAGTTGTCCAAATAGGGTGTCTCTGACAGGATATATATATATATATATATATATATATATATATATATATATATATATATATATATATATATATATATATGTACTTGCGATAGATTATATATAGAGTTGCTGCCTCTAGGATGTATACGGGGGACTATTGGTCAGCTGCCAGTTAGTCTACGTGACGCCAAACAGGCTCATAAAGAGTGTGCCACACTCGCCGCCATGGCTACTAGTGGCTCTGACTGACACTCCCACGTTTAAATTGACATAGATACCCAATAAAGTTGCTGGGGGGATAGCTGTCGTGGTAGCTCAGTGGTAGAGCATTGAACGCGTTATTCGAAGGTCGCAGGTTCGGATCCTGCCCACGGCAACTTATCTTTTCACCCACTTTTCTTTCTTTTCATTTACAATACAATTGGCCTAATAACTTCCCCTATACCTTCCTTGGCATTATTGTCTGTTATATCTCATTAATAATGTGTAAAACACGAACAACTAGCCCTTAAGTATACACTTGTTTCCCTTATATATATATATATATATAATATATATATATATATATATATATATATATATATATATATATATATATATTATATATATATATATATATATATTATATATATATAATATATATATATATATAGGGAGCACGGGAACGGCCACTCGGTGGATGGTGGATATGTGTGCAGATTCACATACATTTTTGCAGGCGATTTCAGCAGCGATGCTCTTCGTGCATTGAAAAATAATTTGTAGTCCTGCGCCTGTTAGCTTCTTTATTTTTGGAGTTCGAACGTGTCTCCTTGCGAGGAACGCTGGGTATTGCATGGTGTGAAGCAGAGTGGACATCGTTCTAAGCCCACACAACTGCTCAAAGGGACCGACGTCCTAATTTTATGGTGCCAATCTTTGTTTTAACGGAACGGAAAGCTTACCGGTGAGCGAGTCTAATCACGGAATGGCGAACCGCAAAACGCCGCGAAACATTTTGTAATAAGAATTTTTCTATCTGCAGTGAGTATTGCTACAAACAGTGAGCGCGAGAGTGGTTCGTTTTCGAGCGTGGGGGGGTTTACTGCGCATGCATGCTCTCCACGCGCATGCGCCGCAGCTCGACTGTGTCCACTATGGCGGCCGCGACGGCAGCGCCGCTTCTCGTGCACCGCGCAGCTGCTTTTACGTCGCAAGCAGCCCAGAATTGAGGGGGGCTGGATAATACTGCACAGACTCTAATTTTCAGGACTGACGCGCATGACAGCTATACGCGAATACGTATGTGAAAGTGGTCGGCTCCAAAGTTCATATTCCAGCTTCAATTCTCTTCCGCTAGGCTACGCCACATGACGGTTTTTGTTTCGTTTAAGTACGATTTAAAAATATAAGCCCTTCTTCCAATGCGAAAAAAAATGCAGGAATCTGTTACTATATATATTGGTATTTTAATTTCTACAAGCATCTAATCACACCTCCTGGACAGTTGTCGGTCCCTTTAACTTCGATGGCACCTTGAAGGGCGTTATGACATGCATATACGAAAGCGTTAGCACAGAAATTTACGCCATATTGAACACCGCCGCTCACGTCGCTACATTATAACTCGTCCGCTAAAAATAACTCTAAGACTGTCCTTCGCTACGAAGCTCCGAATAAAGCAGGAATTCAGGGTATACAAGATCGAACTTTCAAGAGATCAAGAATCCTTGAACACGGGGTGTCGTCGAAGTAAACATACCGAGAAGAGGGTCTGTTTCAAGGCGGGAACTGCTGCCACTTATCAAAACGTTGATTGGCTCCAGTGTGACACACATGTGGTGAACTATTTTTCATCTCTTCGTTACCGTATACGCATTCATCATCACCAACAACCTCATCTCCGCTCAATTGGTTACACGCCTTTCGCATCTCTAATATTGACCCGCCGTGGGGGTTTAGTGGCTAAGGTACTCGGCTGCTGACCCGCATGTCGCGGGATCGAATCCCGGCTGCGGCGGCTGCAGTTCCGGTGGAGGCGGAAATGTTGTAGGCCGTGTGTTCAGATTTGGGTGCACGTTAAAGAACCCCAGGTGGTCAAAATTTCTGGAGCCCTCCACGTCGGCGTCTCTCATAATCATATGGTGGTTCTAGGACGTTAAACCCCACATATAAATCAAGGCATCGCTAATATTGACCCGGTCCTGATCAGGCTCAACCTCTCTAGTGCCTTACTAATTAAATGGCTCCGAAAGACTTTCAGAAACGTGCTAACAATGTCCGAATAACATTTATCAGTTTAAGGTGATTGAAATAGCGCGGAGCAGTAACACCGCTGAATTCCTTCGTTTTCGAACCGACGTTAAAGTAACCTGCGTGACAACGAAATGGATGTGCGTCAAATCGCCAAGCAGCGCTATGAAATAGTAGCCGTGAGGTGGCGTGGCCCCGAAATCTCTGGAAGGTTGCCCGTGGACGCCTCTCCTTTTCCAGAACAGTGGTAGGGACAGTGATGCGCCCCGTGGTAGCGTGTGTCGCAAGTTAAGTGTTGTGCCTACAAGAAGCTCGAAGGCGCGACTTTTATACCTGCAGCTATGACGGTCATTCTTCACTGGGGCCAGCCTCACCCATGGCACCCTTAACCGTCAGTGTTTGACACGTCTGGCAGCGTGAGTGTGGGACCGAATGCGTGCGCCTTCCCAACGCCGGCGCTTCGACTCCTGCGCGCTTTGCATGAGCCCTTGCGAATGCAGTTAACGGCGTCGCAAACCTCCGCGACGCAGTGCGAACACTTGTGGCATTGTAGCTGGGCAGCGGGGTTAAGTTTACGGTCTGTCACAGCCACTGCCTGCAAGGCTGCAGGACATAGGTCTTCAAGCGAACGAAGAGTTGAAAACACTCCGGCAAGCTGAAATCTTTCGACTTGATGATTTTAGGTTGGAAACAGAATAAGAAAAAAAAGTGAAAGTTCTATATCATATAGCATAGCCTCATCGTATTGCAAACCTCAATAATCTTGATTGGCGGTGTCCGAAACACTCAAAAAATAAGTGTGTAGAAAGAAACCGAAGGTGAAGAGGGAAGGCGCAACGGAGGAGGCCACTGCATCATTCCGGCTTTTGGGATTGCCTTGTGCCTATTTCCATAGACGTGCCTATTCTATAGACGTGCCACGTCTATAGCCGATTTCCATAGGCTATAGTAAAGTCACTCAGTACGCCGTAATAGACAGTATAAGTTCCCCACTTTTCTTTTCGCACGACTGCAGCATCCTAAACAATACCTCCTCAAATCCAACATGTTTTCTTTTTTTAGCTTTGCGGGCAGTGTCACCCACAATAAAGTAGCCACGACGTACAGAGAACTCGCCTCGAGTGGTCTATAGTTCTTATGACGCTCGACCACTGACCAGAAGGTCACGTACGTGGTCGAATAATGGTCGTGGAAGTCACCTGTATACGATTGAAGCGTAACGCTAGAGGCCCGTGTACTACTTAGATGTGGGTTAACATTAGAGAATCTCAGGTGATCGAAATTTCCGTATAGCCCTTCAGTACAGCGTTCCTCATGGTCGCCGCACGGTTTTGAAGTGTTAAACCCCATCATTTACAACAAGAACTTGCAGGCACCGTCGAATTCAAAATTGTCCCTCTAAATTTATACTATTTCTTTTTTTGTTAACTGTACGTACAACATGACGTCAAATTACTAGCTTCGCAAATATACCATTCGATACTGTGGAAAGAAACGCAGGCGGCGTTAACCTCGTGCAATCGTCCCTGTAAGAACGCCTTTTTTCTTTTCTTCTGTTTCATTGCTCGGCTGCTCGCTCGATCAGATAACGAGACGTCGTCAGCATCACGCCTGACTTGGCACGAACGCACGTACGGCATTGTGCGTGAAAAGTCGCCGCATCGGCGCAGGCAACCGCGTGTGTGTGTGTGCGCGCGTTAGCAAGCGGACGCGCGATGCGTGGTTGCCGTTGGCGACGCGTGACCAGCTTTGGCCGCCATGTTCCGCGCATATTTTTCTTCGTCTCTCCCTGCTTACTCGCATTGTGTCGCTCGTTTAATGCTCGACGTATGCGAATAGCGCTTCGGCGATGTGCGTGCGTCTGTGCGTCCTCGCGGTAACGACGCCCTGCCATGCGTGCAGGCATGCGCGGGGGAAGGCGTACCTACGTATAGACGCCAGGCGCCGCAGCGGCTGCACCAACCACACGTTCGTTGCCTTTGCCTTGCGCAAGCGCCGCCAAGCGTGAACAGTGTCGTTCGGGAGAAAAGACGTGCTCGTATATAGCACCCGTCTTACACGTGTACGCGACGCAGCGTGTTCAATGGCATTTGTTTTTCTTTTCCCAACAGAACGGCTGTAGGTTGGTTCGAGGTGTATGAGGAATATAAGGCTCGCATGTTCGATCTAAATGTAGAGTGATGAAAAAAAAGATACATTTCGATTATATTCGTAAGACAACATGGGTGATCAGATTTATTGACACACGTGATTTACCGGGTGATAAATATAGTGCCTGTTACATATTATCTACAGACACACGTGTTCTACATAAAAAGTTGTAGTGATGAACCATTCAGTTAGGCTCATTGCAAATCACCAAATCATAGACTGAAGGGTTACAAATAATCGCAGCAACTGGAGCACTTAACATAAATATATACCGAGTACCACCCGGTAAATCAATCAATCGCTTTAAGAACATAATAACAGAACATATTGAACACAGCAAAATGTTGGATCGAATTATTCCATCGTTTACGAAAATTTTTGCGAGCAGCTACCGAAGCCTTTTGAACGTTCAAGTACATATGTCATAACATAAGGGGGAAGGAATTTCTGTTGGTTTACGGCGGATAAAAGGAGAGCTATTTCTTACAGAACTTGGCTATGAAGACTGAGTAGGTAAGCATCCGAAAAACCATTATTAAAAACGGAATACAAAATTGCGAATAATAGGGTCGTCGCTCTTTTGAGGGCAGCGAAAAAG